TGGGGTATTGCATGGTGCAGAAGTTTCCGCTGTATTAAGCTGTTTATTTAATGGCAATACCCAAGATTGGGTAAGAAATTAGTGAATAGCAGGTCTTCACATACGAAAGATAAAAATCTGCTTATTATTATCCACGGGGATAGGATCCGGTACCTTAACTTCTCAAATGGTTTGAAAACTGCACGAACCAATTGTGGATAGCGCGGGTACATTTCTACGATTGGGGTTATCGGATTTTGTACAATTTGAAGAGCGAAATATTTCCCAGAGAATCTTTTCCTAATTGCTTGTACTGACATACCGGGACATCCATATCTAATACTTCTTGCCAAACCACTTTCTTCGTTCCTGGGCGAGCTTGATCTATGATCGTGAAGAGCCTAGAATACTATGTTGTTCCGTGTGACAATTTTTTTTCAAAGTTCACCTTTCATCGTCAAAGCCAGCGAAATAATTAAGAGTCAGAAACACTATGAAACCAGCGCTATCACGTCGTATGGATAGGGCGTTTCTGCAGCCTTAGATGTATGAAAGCTGCGTATCTGCGGGATATTGCTAAACAAACACTCTACAGATCTGTACGCTGCCGTCGCAGCGTTCTTAACTAAGTCAGTGGAAACACCCCTCCAGAAGCCGTGGTATTGGCCTCATGTAAAGGCAACTAAATAAATCTAAGCCATCGATCAGGAATAGGACGCTGCTTTCAAAACAGGTAAATACACCGCAGAAATGTTTCACTTTTGATCGTTTGAGCAGTTACGTGCCTCTACGAAGTGGCAAACATCAAGAAGAAAAGTCGTTATTCTACCTCTGCCAATAGTAATTCAACAGCTCGCTGGTAGAAGAAAATCCCAAGTTCTTCATACGTGCCGTTACATCAGCATTGTTGGCCCTGAATCTGTGAATATGATTTGCAATATCAGTGAAACGCTATACAAATGGGAGTCATTTCCTGCAGAAGTCGACGAATCGTGAGAATGAAGCATTGAAATTGAGCAAGTAGATATTCTCAGGTCATTAGCAAGATTGAGAGAGGTGCAACCATAACTTCCATGAGGGTCGCGCCCGAATGTACTTTATACAAGATTTCTTGTGCGGACAAATAGTTGCCCCTTATTGGATGCATCTACAGCTAGCAGTAGCCCTCATCTATCACACCATTCAAAAGGCTACCGCAATACAGAAAAACCCAAATTACAATATACTCGTAGTTTGTCTAACCCCGCCCACCATATGAACCACGCCCTTCGACAAGTGGGATCACTGATGGGAAGCTACCCAGCACACAAGAGCTTGACTCGGTAACGCGTGTCAAAGGATTTGGAAAATGCGCTTGTTCCCCCAATACTCCCCTCCAGAAGCGACTCTCGAAATGATTTGTGGTTAATCGGGCAAGGCACTTCGTTGATGAGGAATGCACAACAGTAATCTGATAGTAATGGGCGCTGGAAACAGGAAGGTACCGCATTGTCTGACAATAACTTTCGTGATGATAGATTTTCCCGTTTCAGAGCTGCTTTATTAGACTCGCTTGGGAAACCCGGTTTTTTGGCATCTTCTGAACAGCTGACTACCTCGGGAGACGGCCAGGAGTCACCGCCGCGCTCGAAACTAGGTCACCGCGCGCGGCGACCTGTTCGCGTGGCGCGGCGGTGAGTCCTGACCTGGCATTTTGCCAACTTCCGATCAACATGACCTATCGCAGTTTGCTTGGA